ATATTTGGTCTAATAAAAATATCATTGAATGAAGTATGTATGTCTGTGGCAGCCCGTGACGTAGACTTTAATTAAAGCAACAGCATTTTTTTTCCGTGTATAAGCTTTGCAAATATATACTGTTTATATAATTTCTGCTAAAAAAGAATTTCCTTTCTATTGAATAAATTTCTAAAAAAATCACATCCATGTATATACTGCATAATGTAGTACTTTATATTTTGCAGAAAAAATTTCAAATTTTAAATTTTTACAAAAAGCAGTGAGATCCCACAAAAAAACCTCACAAAGGTAAAAAAAATACGCCAAGTATATAAAAGAATCCCAACTTGCCCGCAAAAAAAGTTTAATATTTATCCCTAAAAAATAACTGTTAAAAAAATTTTTCCTTGAAATATAATTTTCATAAAAAATAAAAAACTATAAAATGATTTTCCTCTAACGTGAACTTTACAAAAAAAAACCCCTTTAAAAAAAAAAAAAAAAAAAAAAAAACAACAACGCGAACCAGTTCGACTAGCGACGTAGACTTCCTACCTCGGTAACGCATGGTTGAACGATGCATCTCGTCCAACAGGATGCTTTTTTCGATTTCACTGATACACAGGCACAATCACAGTTTTACGCACCGACGTGACACGCGCACCATTTCGATAAAAGCAGCTGGGAGAAAACCCGGATGCCACGTTCCGTACGGATTTATAAATAAATCGCGGCTCTCTGTACGCAAAACGGACGTGCGATCCACGCGACACGATGGTCGAACACGGACTGACGTAGAAGAAGACTCGTGACGTACTCGTGGCTCGTAGCTCAGAACGCAGCTGAATGATCGTGAGAAAAAAAAAAATACCTGTTATTACGCGACACGCCAGTATAACAGGTAGCGCCCTGCTCCGAGACGAGGAACTCTGTTAACTCTTCCATCACAAACGGGGATAATCAAATTATTCCGGAGCAGTTTTTCATCATCAGCAGTTTAATCTTGAGATTATTCTCATTATTGTGCCGTAAATTTTTATTTGCACGACACTCAGGTAGTTTCAATTTTTTAGCATTTTCTGTTATTTACATACATTCTGTTATGTTATAAAGGTAAATGTTCAGATTAACTTACACCTCACGGATCATTTCCATTTTCACATATATTATAGAGGGCACATTCCTAAGTAACACGCACTTTGAATTTTGTGGCGTTCTTTTCTGGTTTCAGAGATATGCGATTTTGAAGTATCATAATTTTCGCATTTATTTCTATGATCTTTTCACTATATCTTACTTGCGTGTTTATGTTTTTTTGTTTACATTTGCGTCACTGTCAGTATATTTTCGCTAAGAATTTCTTTTGTTTACATTTAGAGTTGTTTTTATGTTACTGCTAGTACGCTTCAGAATCGTACACTTGTTCAGTTCCGCTAGAAATTTCAAAAGAAATACAGCAATGAAGCTTTACGAATTTCTATCCATTACTGCAGATAAAAATATTGCTTCTCCACGTAAAGCGAGGTTCAATGCAAACCTATGTGTCTAGTTTTTTGATAGTAGAGCCTCCCCGCAGGAGGGGCGGAACATACTGTCTCCACGCATATACTTTTTAATACGAAGTAAGGTTTCACAGGGGTTTACAACTTTCCACTTTATATTTACACTTTAAAAAGTATATGCGTGGAGACAGTATGTTCCGCCCCCCCACCCTGCGGGGGGCTCCACTATTAAAAAACTAAACACATAGGTTTGCGTTGAACTTCGCTTCGCGTGGAAAATGGAAAAATTCAAGGAGTTTCGTTTCCGAAATGTAAACAAACACTTTTTCCACATCTGATTTACGCAAATACAACAAAAACAAACTTGATTTTTTCTTATTTTATAACAGAAAAAGCATTAAAACTTGTGAAACTTTAAAATTGCATATCTCTGGAACCAGAAGAGAGCGCGACAAAATTCAAAGTGCTTATTACCTAGGAATGTGCCCTCTATAATAATGTGAAAATGAAAACGATTCGTGAGGTGTAAGTTAATCTGAACATTTACCATTATTTTAATGACAGATGATAAATTAAATTATATTATATGTAATATATATGATTATTCGAAATGCTAATTATATTGATATACAACAAGTATAACACGGCCGACCATAAGATCATTAACTCGATGTTATAGTAACTAAATTAAAATATTAATTAAAATAAATATTGTATTAACAATAAACGAATTAAATATGCACTATAAAGAATAGCTTAATGAATTATGAAACAATAAAAATATTTTGACATGTTTTCCTCGAAAAGAGGAGGTTATTTCATTATTATTATCATTGTAAGCACCATTACTAATCGATTATACGGATTCAAAAGTCAATGAGCTATTTGTATTAAAGAGTCCTAGTAAAAAATAGGAATGACAAATCAATATACTTTCACGAAGATGGTCGCTGGCGAAGGTCGACATAGTAAAATGAAGAGAAGGCTTACGTAAGAATTCATTCGTCACAAGAACTTATTTACATATAGTGCTAATTATGCCTCTGTCGAGGCACACAGCTACTGAAAGTGCATACATAGATCAAATTCAGTCAAGGCAGACAATTCTCGAGAATATCTCATGTTTTAAAGATCGCAGATAGAGAATGTTGTTCTAATTGAAAGTGGCATTTAATCTCTCAATGATCAAATCTTGTTTCAGTTTTGTCACAAATAGAAAGCGGAGATTGTAAACTTTATATTTCTCTGTATCTTTTAATTATTCCTTTATAAATATTTACATATTTATGATACTTAGATATTTCATGATCCAAGAGATTCTCTCCCGACCATATATTTTTTCTTTTACATGATTATTTAGAATATTATTTTACAGAACAGATATTATGACGATATTGCTTTCATATATATATAAATATGTGTGTGTATGGGTAAGTAAGAAAGAGAGAGAGAGAGAAAGGGACAGAAGAGGATAATGAACTCGGCCGATTAATGTAGGTAACAAGCACGGCACGATAATATCGCTTAATTGTACATTCTTATTAGTGTTTTTATGCAAGATGTCGTCTTACATCGCTGCAAAACTGCTGGTATTCATCAGACTATAACCAAGGTCAGTACTCACGCGTATTATCTAACGGTAATTTGAATCTGCGACACGTTTAAAAATGCGATGAAAATGAGAGTGAACGTACATAGCAGTCTATCTATTTAGATTTTAATCCTTCCTTTTTGCAATTTCTTTATATATAACATTATATCGATTATTATGTATTTTTATATTTAGTAAAAAATTTTTTTACTCACATTTATTATATACATATATTTTCTCAATAATTTTTCAATTTTATATAGATCCTTTGTTTATATCTTTTTTCTAGCAGAAATCATAATTAGAAAATACTTTTTAATGAAGTAGAATGTTGATGACTAATTATATTCACGTTTTACTTTCCCAGAAAGAGAAGAGATTATTTATATCAGAGATAAAGTGATTTTTTTCTATTAGGTGTTACATTCTCTATATATTTTATTGCTATCTCTCATAAATTCTTTTATAGTAAAATTTGCATAAATACTCTTAATTCGCGAAATTCTGTTTGTTAATTCATGCATATATATTTTTATATTGGTTAAGTTGATTATCTTATTCAAGGCCAAGTAACTTTATTACTGTAATTAAAAAAGCTTATATTTTTTCCTCTTTCTAGAAGAAAGATCTTTTAAAATATTTTCTAGCAAAATAAAAATTATGTAATTATTTTTACATATCAATGACTTTAAGTATGATCATTTTCCTGATGCATTAAAATATGTCTCTTTACCTCTACAATTTCATCATTCTATATAGATAACAAATACTAATTATAACTATAAAATATTTTTTGTAATAATATATTGTGTGTAATAATTATTATTTGCAATAATTATCCCTGATTTTATTCAATCTCTTCTTAATAAATTTATAATTTTTCTATTATTAAGTTGAAAAAAAAAGTCTTGGTGTAATTTTAAAACATCTCTCAAGAATACATTCATGTCACCATTTTATTCGTGTTTATCTAGAAATCCTCGAGAAACGGCAAACAAGCGATTGAAAGGCGTGCCACGCGTTTCTTGTCTCTATTGATTAGGCTGCCGATTGTAGAATATAAAGGGATTGGCTTCCTAGTATACAACGTGATGGATCGAGAGGCCGTATTTGTGTTCAATCCTATTATAAATCCGCCGGTGATTATACTGCACGGAAATGCAATGCTCTTTGAGTATCACGAAATGACAAAAATGTGGGTGAAACTTGACGATCAATATTGCCGCTGACGTTTGCAGACCTCGAAATACATTTCATTCTCTGCCTGTTGAATTTTATGCATAAAGCATTAAAATATTAAAGTTCAGATAACCTTAAATGCAAATTTAATTGAAAATGAGATGCGAATTAATTCTAGGACCTAACATAAATATCTTCATTTAAAAAGCAAAAAAATACGAAACAAAGTAAAAATGTAATAAACAAATTTGTAGCATCAATTGTACGATTCTATATAGAAAAGTGGCCGTGATAGTATTCGCTTTATCTATAATGTTGATAATGATATATTATTCATTATTGGCGTTATTATTTCACGGAAACGCTATAGCGTACTGATTGGCTATTCAGGAACTCGTGAACGTCGCGCACCACCTCCTCTTAACTCTAGTGTCCCGTAATGTTCATACGGATAATGCATGCAAACTTGCTCTGATTGGCTTAATGAGGATGTACCTGCATCTGAATAGCGAGTGCAAATTATACGCGCGTGGTCTTGGAACCTATATTAATGTTATGATTATGTGTTATTTTCACTTTACCGATGGAAGTTACAATGTGTAAGACGGAGTTATCGAAGACGCTAATCGTGATGTGATAAGTGTTTTAATTAAGAAAATAAATTCACATTTCGCAATGATTGATATAATATACAAAACTAAAACTTTTGTACTCTCTATTATTTTTTTCTTTTTGTTCCTACATTTATAATGCAATACATTAATTATTATTTAACACATGTTTTCTCTTTCTTTTCAGTTTTTTTTTTATATTTTCATAAATATCTCTTTCTGATAAAAGAGATATTTATAAAAATTTATATTTCTCGTGAATACTCGCGCTGGGTAAAAAATATTGGATGAAAAGAAGGTGCGACAATATTGTAATAATTGAGCCTGTTAAAATGAATTGATATATTATAATGCCTCGATCTATTTTTTGCGACATTGCAATAGTTTTCTTTATAGCGAATCTAAATAAAGTCGTTAATTAATTAACGCGTTATCGGGTTCAATACTCGCTCGACGTTCATCGATGCTGAGATTAACGCAAATGAATGCATGGTGGCCATGCACGATGGAAGTTCACTTTAGGAATTACGTGCTCGACGTTCTGGCATTTTTCTTCTCCTGCTCGCTCATTTTCCGTTCCTCGTACATACAGCACCGCACTGCGTCGCATACGCGTTGCACAATTAATTGCAATCAGCGTAGCGTTTCTCGTTACTCTCCTGATGCTTGGCTTGTCGGGAAGAACCCGAGTATAATAGCGTTCCCCTCGCGTGAAGTGGAAATTTAAAGATGCGTCGTTCCAGTGTCGTGTTTATAGCTTCGGGGGCCTGAGATCTCGAGTTTACAAGAGACTCGTTATATTAATTAGCTAAATTAAAAAATTATCTGATTTATATCATTAAAAAAATTTACACACGTAAATATGTTCTAAAATAATAAAGATTAATATATGATCTTTCCAAGGTAAAAACAAGATGTGTAATAAA